TAATTTTAGAAGGTTTAAATATATTTTAGTCCTTATAAGTTGGGTGATTTTGATTTTGGTCTTTGTCAATTTTTTTCTTTATTTTTTATCCTTGTAAGATTTATAATGATTGTTTCGTACTTGTAAAATGAGTAAAATATTTTTCTTTGATTTTCATCCCTCTAAAATATAAATTCACTAGTTTGATTATTTTAAGGTAGATAAATAATATTTATTTTGAAAAACTAAAAAAAAAAATTAGAGTTGTTAAATATCAATACGATAATAGTACGTAATTATTGTAGGTGACACCTAAGATAATTATTTATCTTTTTAAAAAAAATAAAAAGTAGTTAAAAATGATTACATAAAAAATAAGAATTAAAAATAAAAATTCAAATTTTAGAAAATGAAAATAAAAATTAAAAATAAGAATTAAAAACAAGAAATTAAAATAAGAAATTAAAAATAAGAATTAAAAATAAAAAATTTCTGACGGATTTATATTTCCATCGAAAATTTCCGACAGAAATATAAATCCGTCAGAAATTTTCGATGGAATATTCCATCAGAAATTTTCTATCAGAAATTTTCGACAGATTCATTTTTCTGTCATAAATTTCTGACAGAATTTTCTGTCAGAAAGTTTTCGTCAGAAATTTTTCTTGTAGTGTCCTTAGATGAGCATCTTGGACATTTAAGAGAGGTATTAATAATTCTTAGGGATAACCACTTATATGCCAACTTAGAGAAATGTACCTTTTGTAAAGAAAATGTGAACTTTTTGGATTTTATAGTTGGCAAAAAGGGATATGAACTTTTAATCCAACGGTTGGATTTACAAATTTCACATTTAATATAAAAGTATTCAATGGTGTAATACTTAATAAAAGTTACACCGGTGTTATTATAACATTTCTCATTTTAAAATATATAAATTATTATTTAAATTTTTAAATTTATAATAAATAATTTAAATTGTATCATAATATTAATTTTAAATAAAAATAAGTAGATTGTTAATTATAAAAGTAAGTATATATATAAATAAAGATTAATTAAATATAATATAATTATTATTAGTAATATAATTATTATATATTTATAACGGTTCAGACACACCAGAATGAGAGAGATCCAAAGATAGTATAAGTATGAGATTGTATAGTTGAGAATGACTTAAATGAATTAATTTGTACTACTTATACTGACAATATGTATCCAATTTTCTGTAGCTTATCTCATCAGAACTCCACAATTAAGTGTGCTTGACTTGGAGTAATATAGGGATGGACAACCTTCTGGGGAGTTTCCCATAAACTGTGTAAGTAAGGACAAAATATGCTAAAAAGTGAAGTATTGTGAAATAGAGTCCTTGAGAAGAATAGCAACCAAATTTGAGACGTCTATAAAATTTAATAAAAATAAATAAATATTTAGCGACTAATTTAGAGGCAGTTAGTGCGTCTGGTACTGTAAGGGTCGTAATTCTAATTTTGTGATAGTTTTTGCAACGGTTCCAGTAACCGTCACAAAATTCACTCATGACGAACATTTCTGCGACAGATGGTGAATCGTCGCAATGGTGTCTTTGCGGCAGTTCTAACTGTCGCAATGTAGGCCATATAACTGTCGCAAAATCGTTATTTTCTTGAGTGTCACTGATATTTTACTCAAAACATCAGAAAAAAAAAATAAAATTACCAAAATGGCCTTCATAGCTAGAATTGGGTTCGAGGGTCGATTATGTGTAAGGAAGGTATTAGGCACCCTACAATGCCTTATATTAGTACCCTATGATAAAATTAGTGCAATAGAAAATAAAAGTTGAAATATTTAGTCTCCTTTATTAGTGATTATTTACATACTTAAATTTAAAATCACACGATTGAACCTATAATGTCTACATGGTTGCTCTTATTTACGACAATGTTTATGGTAGAAATAGCAGATAATAGAAAAAGAATTTAATGGGAATACCTCTTGAATCAGCTTTTATAGAATGTGCTTCAAATATGGTGGACTTAAGGCACTTTTTGGCTGCCTTACACACTACAATTTATCTCACAAATCTCAAGAAATACAAAGGGAGGGAGAAAGAGAATATTTCAAGTTGTATGAGACTTCACTAGGCAATTTTTTCTGATCAACTCCCATCCTCAACACTATGCACGAGACACTTATTTATAGGTGTCTGGTCTGATTGGAACGACTGTTTTGGTTATCGGAATGGGGTGTTCCAGATTTATATTTTGTGGCCAAATTTTGAATTTGGAAGACCTGTTCTGAAATTGGAATGACCCGTTCCAAATTCAAATTTTTCATGTAATAACTGGGTCAGAATGACCCGTTCTGGATTTAGGAACGACCTGTTCTGACCAAGGGTTTTTACACGTAATCGACCACCGAATCCAATTCTAGCTATGAAGGCGATGATTGACTTTTCAAAAGTCTTTTTATTCTGATGTTTCCTTCAAACTCTTTTTCTAAAACCATTGATTAAGGATTAGTTTGATTTCTGAACATTCTCTAATCGATGAAATTTTCAAACGGAAGTCCAAACCATTTGTGAGCAAGATCGAAATTTTTCAGGTTCCAACAGTGACGATGATGATATTAGTAATAACGGTGGTGGTGACAACAATGGTGGTGATAACGGTGATGATAATACCGATAGTAGCAACAGTGACAATAATAACAATAGTGACGACAATGATGACGCTGGTGGTTGTGATGTAGCAACATTGTAATGGAAGTATAGGTGTTGGTAGTTATAATAACAATAATGAGGATAACAATGATAGAAATAACTATGATTGTATGTGATTTTATTTATAATTTTATATTTTAAACCATTTATTTTAATGTAAAGATATTATTAATTATTTTTATATTAACAATTATTCTCACTTTAGTCACACATATATATATATATATATATAATATTTTATTTTCAACGTAAGCAAAATTTTTGATTTACATAAATGATTATTTGTACTAGTGCATTAAAAAAATATTTTATTCGTTATTTTAATACTCTGGACTGCAAACCTAGTAGTAGTAATATAATCTTCATATATTCTCCATACATGTTTAATTTACTTTTGAATTAATTTATTTAAAAATACAAAATTATGAAGTGGCTCTGAATAAATAATTAATCAGTCTCACACTATTTTGTGAATATCCATAAATTTAAACAATGATAAAAATATATTTACAGTAGAACGAGTTGTAAACAATTTTTTTAAAAATTATATTTCATTTATTTCAAGATTCTTCATTCAACCCATGATGATACATTTGCTGGTTTCTATTTTATTCTTTCATCATAGGTCCACCAAATTGAAAATTTTCATTAAGCGACATAAAAAATTAGAAACCAAACCACTCACAAGAATTTTTAATTTTATTAATATGTTTAAATAAAGTTGCAACACAAGGACTTCTCAAGAATGCATCCACATCAGTACTATTCTCACATAAACACAGTAGAATAAGGTATGATCGTACGTAAACCACTCATAGGTTATAATAAGAAGTCAACGCAACACAACGATATCCTCGAATGATTAAAAAAAACATAAAAATGCCGTGTACGAGTCCAAATGAGTTGTGAAAAACCTTCATTCTCATCACAAATACTTGGTCAACAAGTTTACGCTGATGTAACTTGCGCTCCAAGTTCAACTCCGTCACAAAGCAAACACTATATAAGCATAGTCACAACCATCACTCTCCATCAATTAAGCTTTTTCAAAAAAAATTTTTCTTATTTCTTTAGCCCTCAATCCCAAGGAACAAGGATGAAGAGAGAGGGTAAGCAACATGGCATGGTGAGGACTTATCCGATCCTACCAAGCCCACTTAACCCGAGGCCCAATACCCGATTCATCACGCGGTTTGAGTCACCTCCCACGGCTGGATTATTCGTGAAGGTGTCCTCTAAGCCCACCAATCACTCCAAGTTCACGGGCATGTGTGGCACGCCACGTTGCACCAATTGCCACCTTCACCCAGCTTGCAAGTCCAAGGACAAGACCAAAGGAACCCAAAAGCACAAACATTGGAGGGTCCTCGTAGATCAACCCGATTCAGATTTTTTTGGGGTATCCGCAACCGTGACACTTGACCACCTTTTTGATGATTACTCGGATGATGAAAGTTGGTGATCATCATGTGAATATTCGGGCACTTTTGATGATTGGGAGAAGAAGGATGATGAGAAATGCATTTATGAGTGGATCGAGTTGAAGAAGAGAAAGATGATGAAGAAGATTGGCTTTTGGAGGAATATATGTTGTTCATGGTTGATGATATGATTGTTTATAATTGATTGTTGTTGCTTTAAAGGATCACTAAGGGCATATTTGGATTTTAAAAATGGGTTGAACCAACAATAAATGAATTTATTGAATGATTTGAACCGCCATATGTAAAATTTGTGTTTAATTATCAGCTTGAAATATTTTTGGAAAAGTGTCGGTGAAATCTTAAATATTTGTGGAGTGTAGAATCAGAATGTCTCAAAATGCTTGACATTCTATTTTTGAGGAAAAAGCTTTGGGATTGAGTTCGAATGGAAACGAGTTTGTTCAAAATGTCCAGAAGGGTTATTGTTATGTCAAAGGAATTAAAATAATTGAGATCATGATCGAAAACTATTATTCTTCACTCGAATATTTGTATTCAATACAATGTAACTGTTGAAGGCCACATCGATAATTTTCGAATATTGGAAGTCTGATTGATCATTGTGGAATTTTTAAAATTAATTATGTAAATGAAACTATTTTAAAATTATTTATATATTTAGGGTTATTTAATGTAGAATCGTTAGGGGATATAGCGATTCTAATTGCATGTATTGAATTTTTGTTTTAGAAAATCATGAAAGTGATGCAGTAAAAGTCACGAAAGTCGATAGCAATCAAACTGAAGTTCTTGCTAGTTATAATTTTTTGTATGAAGTTACTACAGGTTATAGTGCTTAAAAAAAGTAATTTTTTAAATATTATAGATCAGATTTTTTTATATTTAATTATTTTTGAAAAATTTAATTTTAGTTTGTTAAAAAAATTAAAAAAAAAAAACTAAATTCAATTTTTAAATTAATTAATCAATATAAAATATATAATTAAAATAATATATATATATATATATATATATACATGAATATAAATCTAAATTTAATAAGGAAGGTAATTAATTTTCTTATTTTAAGTAAAATAAAAATTTAACAAATTATTAAATAAATAAATA